GGGGAGCCCCGTGGTGGACCTGCCGGCCCCAGCTCCCAGGCTGCGGCGCCTGCCCTGTTTAACTGCACGGCAGCCCCGGGCGAGCAGCCAACATCGCCCTTGGAGCTGCTCCTTTAGGACGAGTCAAAGACTCGGGTCCCCCATTTCATTAATGTGTTGACGCTAGGAGATGCTGCTGGCACCCTGGAGAGGCAGGGGAAGCTGCTCCAGGTCTTGTGGCTCTGCGTGGAGGCAGCTCTAGCCAGGACGCCCGTCCCCATCACAGCAGCTTCCCCATGGGAGCAGCGAGCTCCGCCAGGGACCGATGGCAGCGGCTGATGCCACAGGAGCCCCCCGCAAGGTCCCTCCTTGCAGCAGGATCTGCGCCATGCGGGGCTGCTCTGCAGCCCGAGCTGCTTTCCAGCAATTCTGCGGGGCAGGTCAGGCAGGACGGAGCTCGGAACGGGAAGAGCCGGGCAGGCTGCACATCCCGCCCCAGGGCGGCCCCAAGCAGCCGAGCGTGGGCGAGCTCCTGCGCTGGAGCTCCCAGACGCAAACTCCCCGTCCTGGAGCCCTCACCTGTGGGTGCAGGGTGCCCCGCAGCGCGGCAACTGCCTGCCGATGCCCACGGAGGCTTCCAGGATCTGGCACAGGCTCTGCTCGGCAAGAGGCCGCGGCAGTCAGGAAAGGAGCGCGGAAAGCAGCGGTGCTCCCAGCAGGGACCCGCTGAGACCGCGCGCCAGCCTGCGGGGAAGGGCTGCAGGTGACAGCAGTGACCACAGACAGGCCACAACCCCAGCTGGCAGCACAGCCCCGGGCCAGGCATCGCTGCTGGGGCACCCAGAAGCCGCCCCTGCCCGACACGGAGACAGGAGCACGGATGAGCCACGTTTCCACAAGCAGGAACACAGCGATGGGTCGTGCGCAGACCCAACCACAGCCGGGCACAGTGGGGAGCACCAAGCACCCACAACACCAGGACGAGGCCCCCCAGCCCAGCCCATCCTGCTGCTCAGGGGGGCCAGCAGCCTCCCTGGGGCACAGCCCGCACCTTCCTTACCTTGGATATGGAGAAGGCCTCTGCGTGCTTCTTGTAGAGGCCAAGGATGCCTGGGATCAGCTTGGGCAGCTGCTCCTCCAGCTTCTCACTGGGCATCAAGTAACTCATGGGCCCGATGGCCTCCACCACGGCCAGCCTCAGCTGCGGAGGGGTCACAGCGCGCGTGAGCTCAGCAAGCACCCGGCTCCGCCGTCGCCCCGCGGCCCCGGGCGCCCCAGCCCACCTTGGCCTCGCGGTGCTGCAGCCAGCTGTTGAAGAGCACCTCGTAGGCGCAGAAGATCTCGTTGGAGAACGTGTCCTTCCTGACCGTGGGGTCCGGCGCCTTGTCCAAGTTGGCCAGGTACTCCTGGATGCTCTCGCTGAAGTGCTGCAGAGCTGCAAGACGCAGCGGCTCCCGGGAGGCTCCTTGCGGAAGGCCGCCTCGGTCCAGCCCCATGGCAAGCACAGGGCCTCCCCAAAGCACAGGACTCGGCCCCATGGACGGGAACTGTCCCCGTGTCCCCCTCTCGCTGAGCTCCGCGTGCTCCCATTCGGTGGCACCAAGGGCCGGACTCTCTCCCTTGCTCCGCTCCAGGAGCCACCTGGCAGCTGGGGACACCCAAGGGACATGGGCAAGGAGCCAGGTGGGCTCCTGCCTCCGCTGCGGATCCGGCAGCAGGAACGCCGC